AAATAAGACGAGGAGCCCAAAAAAATTCAAATCAGGAGAGGAGCCTAAAAAAATTAAAATCAGGAGAGGATCCTGAAAAAATTAAAATCAGGAGAGGAGCCTAAAAAAATTAAAATCAGGAGAGGAGCCTGAAAAAATCACAATCAGGAGAGGAGCCTGAAAAATTAAAATGAGCAGAGGACCCTAAAAATATTAAAATTACGAGAGGAGTCTGAAAAAATTAAAATCAGGAAAGGATCCTTTAAAAATTAGAATCACAAAAGAAGCCTGAAAAAATTCAAATCAGGACAGGAGGCTAATACAATAAAAATCACGAGCGGAGCCTGAAAAAATTAAAATCAGGAGAGGAGCGTGAAAAAATTAAAATCTGGACAGGAGCCTGAAAAATATAAATCAGGAGAGGAGCCTGAAAAAATTAAAATCAGGAGAGGGGCCTAAGAAAATTAAAATTAGGAGAGGAGCCTGAAAAAATTAAAATCAGGAAAGGAACCCAAAAAAATTAAAATTAGGAGAGGAGCCTAAAAAATTAAAATCAGGAGAGGAGCCTGAAAAAATTAAAACCAGGAGAGGAGCCTGAAAAAATTAGAATGAAAAGAGAAGTTTAAGAAAATTAAAATCAGGAGAGGAGCCTAAAAAATTAAAATCAGGAAAGGAGCAGAAAAAAATTAAAATCAGGAGGAGAACCTGAGAAAATTAAAATCAGGAGATGGGACTAATACAATAAAAATCAGGAGAAGAGCCTGAAAATTTAAAATCAGGAGAGGAGCCGGAAAAAATTAAAATCAGGAGAGGAGCCTAAAAATATTAAAATCAGGACAGGGGACAAATACAATAAAAACAGGAGAGGAGCCTAAAAAAATTAAAAACAGGAGAGGAGTCTGAAAAAATAAAAATCAGGAGAGGATCCTGAACAAATTAAAATCAAGAGAGGTGCTAAAATAATTAGAATCACGATAGAAGGCTAAAAAAATTAAAATCAGGACAGGAGCCTGAAAAAATTAAAATCAGGAGAGGAGCCTGAAATATTAAAATCAGGAGAGGAGCCTAAAAAAATTAGAATCAGGAGAGGAATCTGAAAAAATTAAAATCACGACAGGGGACTAATACAATAAACATCAGGACAGGAGCCTAAAAAAATTAAAACCAGGAGAGGAGCCCAGAAAAATTACAATCAGGAGACGAGCCTAAAAATCTAAAAATCAGGAGAGGACCCTAAAAACCTAAAAATCACGAAAGGAGCCTAAAAAAATTAAAATCAGGAGAGGAGCCTGAAAAAATTAAAATCAGGAGAGAAGCCTAAAAATCTAAAAATCAGGAGAGGAGCCTGAAAAAATTAAAATCAGGAGAGGGGACTAATACAATAAAAATCAGGAGAGGAGCCTAAAAAATTTAAAATCAGGAGAGTAGCCTAAAAAAATTAAAATCAGGAGAGGAGCGTGAAAAAATTAAAATCAGGAGAGGAGCCTAAAAAATTAAAATCAGGAGAGGAGCCAGAGAAGAGAGCAAAAGAATTAAAAGCAGGAGAAGGGAGCAAGAGAATTAAAAGGAGGAGAAGAGAGCAAGATAATTAAAAGGAGGAGAAGAGAGCAAGGGAATTCAAAGCAAGACAAGTGACTAAGAGAAGAGATTAAGAGAAGTGACTAAGAGAAATGAAGGCAAGAGAAGAGAGAGAAGAGAGATGAAGATGAGCAAGGGAAAGAAGGGAAGAGAAAAACAGAAAAGACTACATGACAGAAAATAAAGACAGGAGCCAAAGAGGGGGAAAACCCCCAAAGAGGGGAAAAGTCCCCAAACCTTTATTGCAACTTTATTGAATGACTTGTTGTGACCTTGTGAAATACACAAGGCTAGTACAGAAGTTACAACACAGGTTAGTATCCAAGTTACAACACAGGACAGCATACACGTTACAATACAGTTTACAACACAGGTTAGTATCCAAGTTACAACACAGGACAGCATACACGTTACAATACAGTTTACAACACAGGTTAGTATCCAAGTTACAACACAGGACAGCATACAAGTTACAATACAGTTTACAACACAGGTTAGTATCCAAGTTACAGCACAGGACAGCATACAAGTTACAATACAGTTTACAATACAGGTTAGTATCCAAGTTACAACACAGGACAGCATACAAGTTACAATACAGTTTACAACACAGGTTAGTATCCAAGTTACAGCACAGGACAGCATACACATTACAATACAGTTTACAACACAGGTTAGTATCCAAGTTACAGCACTCCTTCAGGAACGTGGTTCCTGGGAAGGCTCAAAAATCAAAAAATCATCCTGCCTGGCAAAACCCGGGTCCCGGGATGGCCTGTGCCAAACTTTGGCGATGAACAGTCGCCTCACCAGACAGAGCCGAAGACCTGGGAAAAAAACCCCAGCTGGGGGGGAAAAAAAAAAACAAAACCCCCGTTGGGGTTTTTTTTTATTCTAAAGTTAAATGGTTGTAAAAAACTCCTGGAAAGAGAAACGAGCACAAACAGCGGGTTAGAATACTTACATTAACAGAGGCCCAACCCCTTCCATCCCCACACCTCCACCCTCCCTTACGCCGAAAAGCCAACCCTGAATATCGGCGCACACTGAAAATTGCATGCCTCAGGAACAGGGTTCCCGGGAAGCCTCAAAAAATCAACAAATCATCCCTGACTGGCAAAACCCGGTCCTGGTCGGCCTGTGCCCAAACACTGGCGATGAACATCGCCTCGCAGACCGGCCGGGACCTGGGAAAAAAAAACCCAGCCGGGAGGAAAAAAAAAAACAAACCCCGGTTGGGGTTTTTTTATTCTAAAGCTAAAATGGTGGAAAAAATCCTGAAAGAGAAACAAACACAAGGTTAGAATACTACATTACACACACCCATCCCCTGCATTGCCACACCTCCACCATACCCCAAAGCCGCAAGCCAACCCTGAATATCGGCGTACACTCAAAACGCTCCCTTGGGAACGTGGTTCCCGTGGAGCCTCAAAAAAAAAAAAAACTCCAAAAAGAAACAAATTGCCAAGCCTGACAAAACACGCATGCCGCTCATGCCCGAGCACACCCCTCACAGCATTACAAGGCAGTATCAATGGCAGAATATCAAAAGCAAAACAAAGTAAGGTACAAAGCTATACAATTCCTAACTGATGCACAGCAATACAACACTATGACATTCACATACAGAGCAATACAATTGCAAATATAGAAGTATACCAGACAGAACATTACATGGCAATACAAGTGACACGACATAAAAAGTGCTACAAACAAAGGCGCAACGATATACAATTCCTGACACACGGAACGCGACGCCGTGACGTTCAGATACGGACCGATACGACTACAACTATACAAGTGTATGATACAGAGTGGTACAAGGCAATACAAATGACAACATAAACGGCGGCTGGACTTTTCCTATTCTGGTTGTAAAATACAATAACTACGCCTAAGAAGCAACCTGCAACACTAAATAAACAGATACGATGCTACACGATGCAGTCCAGAAGTCATTGGGCAGGGACTCCCCGTGGCTCTCAGAAGTTTCCATCGATGATCGCTCGGCCGATCTCTCCCCGGTCGCCGGAAGTTCCGGGAAAACCGATGCTGTCTTTCACCCCAGGAACCTGAGTCTCCTTTGGGTGGCTGTAAGACAAAAAGACTCTGAAGCATGCCTTCTGTGACCTTGGACTTACCCCCAAACTGAGCCTATACATTTTATAAGCCCAAAGACCCCTGACAAATGCCCATACCATAGACACTGTTTGCTACTCTACCTAGCTGTGACTCTATACACCCAAGCAGGGCATCGCAAGACAATCCTGCTCACAGACTGTACAGCCGTAGGCTCAACTGTCTGAGGGAACTGACATGTTGATGTGAGACTGAGCAATATTCTATCTACCCACTGATCCACGTAGCAGGGCAGAGCAGTTCCAGGCTGACCCCAAGTGAGACACCCCATACCTGTGATGACACACACCACGTGACACAATTAAGAGACAAAGGACACAAACATGGAGGAGACAAAGGACGTGACACAGACCGGAACTGCTCTGCCCTGCACACGGGAATCCAATGATACAAAGTAAGCCCTTCCTTTGAGGTCTCTAAATAACCTGCTACAGGACACCCATTGCACCATACTAATTGCAAAAATCCCTCCGGGCAATGCACATACTTGCCCCGACTCCCAACCCCTCTCTGGGTCTTTGCCCTGCACTTATCTTTCCGAGACCCGGGGCTGTGAATCCATCTTCAATGCACAGGAGGGGCACCTGGGCTGGCTCAGAGGTTCCTGTTGTCATGAGAGTACTCCAAGTCAACTGTGAAAAAGAAAACCATACACAATATCTGAGTAGTGTGGCATGGGGTTGGAACCCCAGTGATCCCCCTACTCACCATCACCGAGGCCCTGACCGGAGTCCAACACTGTGGCTGTCACCTTCCGGGATACCTGAGTGAGTGAGACACAAAATTCGAAGGCATCTCTAAAGCTGCAGTGAATCCCCGCTCCTCCTGCTGCCTCCCCAACTCACCTAGAAAGCTCCTCTCTCTTCAGCTGCTCCCAAGATCGCCCCTGCAAATGAAATGGGTAAATGCTCAAACACTGAGCTCTCAAACATTAGGGATGGTTCACAAGGAAAGCCAAAAACCTCTAAACCCCATCAGACTGCACGCCGAAGCATTGCTACACACTGTGAAGTGGACAGACGGCCGCTGCAAGACAACCCAGACATGGAGGCTTGTGCTGATGTACTGCCTCATACTGGCTATCTCGGGCTCCTTTAGCTTGACCTCTGATCGGATGGACCTTCGGCACCTTCAGCAGACGGGCAAAGGGTTGTGTATGGGATAGAAAAAAAATTAAACAGTTTCAACATATATGCAGAGATTGACCACATAGATGACATCCTAAAACTAACTCCAAATTCGGCTGGGGAGTAAAATTCTCACCTCGCTCGTCTCCCTGCTGAGCCGCTACGCCTTGAGACCGATTGGGCCCCATCTGGAAAATAAAGAACAAAAAGGCACAAGAGAAAGGACCCCTACAGCTAAAACTGACATCCTTCATCCAACACCCAAGACAACCTTCTTCCCAGGCTGCTTCAACTCGTCTCCGTCTGGGGTACACTGTGTCCACTTATCTGAAAAAAAACAACAAAAAACAAAGGGTTAGTCAGGTCACCCACATG